ATCTAGCACCAGCTTCATAGTCAGATCCTGCTACATCCTTCCTTGCTGTCCTAAAGAGTAGGCTACAGTCAGGTTTAAGTTGTGTGGACTATCCTACGAATCACTTCATGCTTTCTTGGATAGTCTTGGAAATATGTCACCTGAGAAGATTTATGAATGGACAAGTTCATTAAAAATACCATTTGCAAGAAATTAAGCAGAATAACCCTCTCTCTTCTGATGAACTTCTCTGCATTTTTGTGTGTGTGTATCTGTGTTTTAATTTCCTTTTGATGACTCTGAGATGATATGGACAATGAGATACACGTAAATATGTATCACACAGAACTCTCCCCCAGCACATTAGTGGAGGCATAATTCTGTGCATCAAAGCAGTAGTCTGTGTCACATCCAGCACAGACACTGAACAATGTCCCTTTAGAAAGGGCAGAGGGTGAGAGTAGCTTTATGACACTATTGATTTATTCTGTGCCTGCAGTTAAAAACTATACCCAGACAGACAATAAAAATAACTACTCTAACCATATAACAGCTTCCTGCTACTAAAATGGATTTTACACTTAAAGTCATGGAGGGCTTTTCTTTTTTTCTCCAAGTCTCAATTATGACTTTTTTCTGAATAAATGAAAATGAGAAATTGTCAGAACTAATTTAGTCCTGACGTTGTATTTTTTTCTTCTCTCCTCAGTGTTTAAAAAGGCCAGGATTATTTTCCTGTTGCAAAGTTTTGTTGTAAGTGCACTAGTAAGCACAATAACCTGGTATTAATCAGACCAGATAATTTGGTGCACCACTTTCACATGAAGAAATAAGCAGTGGGGGTGGTAATCTGGAATGGATGTACCATACAAAACTAAACTGATTATGGTCTTTGTGGTCAACTAGATGAGATGGGGTTGAGGTCTTGACTTTAGATTTGAATGTTAAAATAATATCTAGAGCAACAGAGTCTTCTCCTGGAAAACCTTTTTTCGCTCAAAGGACCCCATAAATTTATAGGCTGAGATTTAGACAAACTGTAAGTGTTTTGCTGCACTGAAACTGGTGTCTCAAGCAAGTTTCTAGCAGGCTTCTGTGGTAATTAGCAAGTATTCCAGATAATAGGGAAGGAATCTTAAAAATGGAAGACCTGGACCGTGTGGGCATGAACGGATCAATGAAATGTTTTAAGACCATATAACTCTTCCTTGAGGTCTTTACCAAAACACCTGAAGCTGATGAAAAAAAATTGAAATGGTAAGAAGGCAATGGGCTCATGAGTTGGCACCAGTGGCAGCTGGAGAGGTCCTGTCCTTCTGTAGCTATAATAGCAGAGAATTTTGGACAGAAATGCAGTGATTTGGAGCAGGGAAATTATTGATCTGAAACTTGGGCTTGTCTTCAGATTTGTCAGCAGGGCCAGTTCTCTGCTCCAGTTCATCAGTTCACATAGCAGCACCTATAGGCACAAAACATGGATAAGAGCTGATACAAATGAAAGCTCAGAACAGAAGGGAAAATCCCAAACTATATGTGAGGCAGTGTGAGACAGGATGAGGCAGTGAGGTAGAGCAAAGAGAGATGTACTTCACAGCCTGTTGCTCTGCAGAATGGAGATGAGCAGCCTGCCTGCATGGGGTCAGACAGCATAAGGAAGAGTACATTGGGCTGGAAAAATAATGTTCAGAAAAAGGAAAGGGAGGAGGAATCTGCTATTCAAGTGTCATTCCATTTCCATAGGTTTTATGATTTGGGATATACTGCCTGAATGACACATAATGTGAGATATTGTAATGTGATCTCCTGTCCCTGGAGATGCTCTCAGAAATTAGATGATTCCATCAGCATGGCTTTTACAAAAGTGAGCAAACATTGTAATAAATGAACTCAAAGAGTGAGAAAATCAAGATTAGATGCTTCACATCTGGTTGGGGGATTTTTCCCACTTATTTATGCTCTGTGATAAAGCTTAGATACATTAATTAACTTGCCTTAAAATTGACTTAGCGAATATGTTTGCAAGATACCTTTATGTTTTAATCTGTAAAACATACAAATAGGAATGTTGACACAAAAAAAGACCCTGTGGAAATCATATACGTCCACCCCAGGGAAAGAAGACAGAAGACCTCTTTGTTTTGTTTTCATGTGTCCTTTTGGTGGTTCTGGCAAAGGGAAACCCTAGCTTCAGTTCTTGCAGTGAGTGTTATTGTCTGCTGAAATGCTCAGTTGGACATGACACTGGAAACAGGGATCTTCTCTGGTTTCTCTGAATTTCATGTCATGGTCAGCAGACAATATGTAAGACTGAAATTAAAATTTTCCTTTCAATTACAGGGCTAATTGTTGATCCTCAGTGTACCTCAACTCCTCTGGACAAACCAGGATCTGGCCCTCACACAGGATTTGCTACACGATTTCAAGAGCATGATTTCCCAATGAATCATTCCTCTCTGTTCCTTACACTTCACTTCCACATTTAGTACTTTTAGGGAGAATGATTATTTTACATCCTTTCAATCATCATTCTCATCCGAGGGCTCCAAATATCAAACCAATTTCAAACCAACATGGTTATACTGTTCAGCTCACAGATCACTGGGCTGTGGGACCCCTAAGCAAAGACATCGTGGATAGCTCCCAACTCCTGCTTTCCACCTCCCTCCTTGCCTGCGTGGCCCAAGAGCATCTCAGACAGAACCCAGCTCTAAATGGGGGTTCATGGCCTATTGCAGCAGGTTGCACCAGAGCTTTGCCAGCTTGGGGTGAAATCTTGACCTCTCTGGCTGGGAAGCTTAGCTGGGAGAAGAATTTCTCTCTGAAAGTCCTAACAGCTCTGCAATGTTGGAAAAAAATCCCTATGGGGGAGTGATCCCTTCTGGTGCTTTTCAGAGGCTGCTCTTCAGAGTAGCAGATATATTTATATTGGAGGTGGATTGCTAAGTACTGTAACTACTACACAGGAGCTAGGCACAACAAGCCAGCTCCCCAGGTTGATGCTGTGCTTGAGCACAGCTACATGGGTGTAGATGGCTGCACAGCTCCATAACTGTGACAAAACATAAATCCTGAGTAGAGAATTATTTAAGGTAGCTGTGGCACCCGGGGGTTTGTCCTGTGAAGATGCTCTGCAGGAGCTGGTCTTTCCCAGAAGTAATCGAGAGACCGAAGAGTTTTACCAGGAAAGGCAACATTCTTGAAGTCTGCTGGTACAGGTCAGAACACAGGGTATGTCTTTGGTGACACAGCAGATAATGGGACATGGAATGGCCTGACTCAAAGGGGAAAAGGCCTTGTCTTACCTGGTGTGGCCCCAAATTGTAGATTGACTACACTTATGCAATGTGAGCATTCCAGAAACTTGTGTCAGCATCAAATCCTTGACTTTGCATTGTTCTGGGACTTGATGCTACATCCAGGAGGTTGTTTCAGCATGGCTTCCTGGAGGATTAAGCAAATGTATTCTGCCTCATCCATTCCCCCTACAACATCAGTGAAAGAGGAGCAGAGGATCCGATGTGCTGCATCTTTCTGTACTTCTAGCTAAAAGTTTCATTTGGGAAAGAAACAGGCCAAACAGAACAAACAGGAGGTAAACCTGAGAGATCTGAGTGGCTGTGACTGTTTGCAACCTAGTGAGCTGGTCTTTGAGAAGTACTCTGTTCACTAGCTGGATGCCAATTGCCAAGTGATGCTATCAGTTGATTAAAACACAGCCTGCCAGCTTCCTGCTTGATAAAACTAAGTACAATCTGATTGGGAATTCTCAAATCCATTACAGAATGGCTGGTCCATCACTTAAATCACCATACACCGCTTGCCCATGAATCATCAGCATACTTTGGTGATATATTTGCAGCAGCTAAACCCTGACAAAAGACCTGACAGCTCGTCAAAAACGGTCCCTGAGTGCCGGATTCTGGGGGGTGGGAAATGGCAAGAGCTTTGGACCATGAGGGTTTCCTGTTGTTCCCTGCTCAGCTGGGTGAAGGTCATTTCCTCTCTTCTCTCACGCAGAAGAAGCTGAACCCTCAACCCTTGAGGGTATGTCCGTGAGCTCCTAGAAACAACAACCAGCCCCTACAAGGAGCCCTGTCCTGCATGGCCCCACTGACAAGGCAGGATCACTCCCCAAAGAGGAGTGCTGGTCACCACACTTGCCTCCCTTCAGGTAAATAAGGCAGTCCCAGGCTACAGAGGAAAAAAATACCATGAACTATTACAAATCAGTCTTACAATTTATTTCTTCTGCAAGCTGTAACACATACACACAAAAAAAAAAAAAACCAACAAAAAAACCCAAACCCAGGGCTGCAGAGCCAGGCCAGCATTCCTGCAGAGGAAGGAAGGGGGCATGCTGCCAACCCATTAAGAATAATACACTAGCGGGTTGGGTGTTTAAAAAAAGCCCTCTTTTGTTGGCTCTGTGGAGGGTTTTTTATCTGCTGACTTGGAGGTGGATGCCCAACTCAGTGTTTGCACATCAGCTGCAATGTATCCTTGATCATCCCAATGCGATAGATGGAAGTGTTATGTGAGGAATTGCTGAGGGACACTTGCTAGCTAAATAACAACACTGAAATACCAGAAGAATAAGTCAACCCCAGCAAAAGCACAAAGTCTTTGTGACTTAGCAGAAATAAGAACTTAGGAGGGGAACAAAATGATGTAAAATCTAAAGAAAGTGAGCAAATGCAATAAAATTTGGAGGTCATTTATTACTTATCAGCTAAGCAGCAGATTATAATGAAATAGTGAAGCGAGAAAGATAAGTCCTAATCATAGGAATGCTCAGATAATGCCTCGATAGCCAATGTTATCCTCCAACTCCCCCACTTCCCATCCATGTCCTTTCACCTCCTCTCTCTATGTCCCTTCTTTGATTCTCCTTCTCCTTCTTTTTTTTTTTTTTTTATAACTAAACATTGCAAGACCTACTCAAGAAACATATGGATAATACAACACATGTCAAATCTCAATACAAATCCTTATCTGGTGTAAAGTCAGTGTAACTCCATCTCTGGTCTCAACACATTTTATTTACAAGAAAATGCACAAGCAGGAGACAAATATCTATTGTTTGCACAGTTTCAAAAACATAAACCTTAACATAAGGGGTTGTTTGTGCTCCCCCTTAAACTGCTGAGAGTTGTGGAAGTCTCTCCAGAAGTGAGACTGACTTGGAATAGGTGTAGTAAAGCAGAGATTCACAGACACAGTTTCTTCATTTAAACTGACACAAAGTGAGAGGACAAAGAGGCTCCCAAAATTCTGTCCTTGCGGTTCAAATTTGAATACATGTTTTTAAAGCTGGCCAAGCAAATGAAATTAAACCTCGTGTAATTAAGTTCCAGTAATTTGAGCAGAAAGTAGTCCTGGGAAAGTTAGCAGGCTGAAAACGTTATGGCGAAGCAGATACATTGAATTTTTTTGTGCCATTCCTATCACATCAGAAGTCCACAAAGAGGACATTTAGGGTAAGTCAAGAGTTTCCAGTCTCTGGCATGCAGACCCCAGAGGTCCATGGACTAAACCACACAAGCAGTCAGCAGGATGGTGTGTTCCCACCTGAAGATCTCTTCAAGTTTTCTGTGCAGGACCGTGACACTGCTCCAAAGTCTCCATCCTCAGGGGTGCTGCTGCCTTCTTCTCGGATGCATGTGGCATTGCTCTCTGTTCCTTACACCCACCAGCAGTCCTGGCTTACCTCCTGCTGCTGCAGAAACTTTTGGCCTCCTCATGGTGCAGATTTATAAGCAGTGTAATCTCCTCTGCATCCAGGCATCACCACTCCGGGTCTTCTGGGAGACTAAGGTTGGAAATTGGAAAAGGGATCACAAAAAGTGATAAAAGTAGAAGAAAAAAGATCAGCAGCAAGGTGGAACAGCTAGAGAAGACCGTGCAGTTAATAAACAGAAAGGATAACGAACGAGGAGAAGCCTTGGTGGAAGAAAGAGGAGTAGAGGTCACAAGAGCTGCCAGTCACCAGCAAAAAGTGTGTCAATAAAGCAGTTGACCCTCTCTATAGCGTGAGCTCCACTCCAGGCTGGCATGGGAGCTCTGGGCAGTTTGACATCCTTCCTTTTCCAAAGCAGGGTTACATACACCCCGAAGGACTTTGTGGTGGTGTGGCTGCCCCTCAGATCAGGGCTGAGTGTCCCACCAAGCCCTGCCTGCTTTCGGAGAGAGGTCCCCACTGGCTCTCCTCTGGAAGAGGAGAATCTGTGTGCACTGAAGCTGTTCTGCAGCTGGACCAGTGCCCAACAAATGGAGGGGGAATACTGCAAACCCACCCCAAACGGAGACACAAGTGCAGACAGAGCTGAAGCATAACCCAAGAGAAACAAGGCTACTGTGAGTTGCCTTAAGTTCACTCAATATACCTGGGGGAAAACTGTAGGGTATTTAGAACATAAAAATATTGAAAACCATCAGAATTTGTTATAACACACTGCTGTTTTACTAGGTCATATTGTACCTTCAACATTTCCACACACTTCAGCTAATATCACTTGGATCTGCACATAATGAACAGTGAAACACAGAGTTTGCCCAATGATGACTGAATTACTCAGGAGGAACTACAATTGATAAGACAAGGATTTATGGACCTATTGTTTTCTAGGTTCTTGTAAATAATCCTAATTGGTGTTAATCATCCACCCTCTGCTTAGTGTTATCACCAGGCAAAGTACACTTCCTAAAGAAGCTATTTAGGGGCATAATCCTTCTGAAAGGCAAGACAGCTATTGACTTCCACAGGACCTGGATTTGAGGTGCTCAACCAGAGGAAAGAGACTCTGGAACACGAGCAAAACACATCACAGTGTCTTTCCTTGTTCACCTTGAAAAGTTCCTTTTCAATAAACTCACAGTAAATTCAGTGTGTTACAGTAATCCCTTCCACATGGGCTTCATGCAAGGACTCTCCAGCCGTTCTACCAGCTCGGAAAGGCACCACAGAGGATGTAAATTTGCTGATGATATTTACTGCCAGATTGCAGCTCTTGCCTGTGCCCCCTTGTGATGGGCTGGCTGTGTCATGTCTGAGAAAGGATGCTTCGGAAGAGCAGACACCTGCACCAGGAGTTGGTGTCTTTCTGTCTCTGATTTTATTGTTATCCCCTGAAAAAGTACTTTGATCTCTTGGTGCTTCACCGTTTGTCACACCGCGCGCTTGTCATGAGGGGACTGTGGAGCTCGAGACCTCCTTGCTTGCAGGCTTTAGGTGTAAGTTTTAGTGGGTTCAGTTTTAGCATACAGATGAGCTTGCTTTGACCTTAACAGGTCTGCACTTTAAATAACACTTAAATAGCATTCTAGAGGGTACAGTCACACGCTGCTTGCTTACGGAAACTACAAGGAAACCAGACAGCTTTTCAATTTGTGTATCAAAGGGAAGGAGATTTACACATAAAAGAATGAATTATTTTGATTTGTAGTTTTCGAGCCACTATACATTCTCTGACATAAATGCTCCCTTGTCTCTGGTTTCTGATAGTTCATATCAGGTTCGGTGGCCTAGATTTTCAAAAGTGGTAACTTCGGAGGACAATATTTCTCAGTGCCAACTCAAGGTGCCTTAAAGAGACCAGATATTGTTAAGATACTGCCTGTCTTTGGAAAATTTGGGCCATTTTAGCACCTCTCAAACTTGACACCCCAAAGTGACAGCACATAAAATCATCAGGGGTGGGTTTGCCAGAGGAATAAAGCCCTTTCCCCCACCACACTATCCCCTCCACTGCATTGTTCACACAGTTCAGACTTCCATCGCTGTTTAAGGTTCCTGCAGAGTCAACATCACCAGTCCTTTTTGACATTCTCAACCACCAAACATCCTCCATAACCTATAAAAAGAGCTCACTTCCTCAGCTATTTCATCTTTTAAGTAGCTATCAGAGGAATGTCTCCTCAGGCCTGGGTCTGGATAGCCAAAATCTAGCTATATGGTATTTGAGGGAGAGGAGGGGAGAAACCCTATCCCATTATCTGCATTATCCTGTTACCCTTGGATGTCTTCCATGTACTTGGAAGAACAATGCCCCATTCTTGAGGCTTCACATTGCAGCCACTGCCTTTTTGGCAGAAGAAGGGTGGAAGTGGCTCCCTTCAAAGTGAATCAATGTGACATCTTTAATCAATCTAGAAGGTCACCACTGCACTTCCATCTGAAAGGGCTGGGTACAATTCTCGCTGAGTCCTAATTGTTTGTGGGGGACTCAGGTTGCAGTGGGTGTTAGAAAAAGTCTTTTCTGGTCCTGACCTCAGCACATCTTCTATTCCTAGGCTCTTTGTAGGAATTTACAATCAAATAAGAATTATACCCAGGACTAAGATACAATGATGCAGAAGTATGTATAATGAAACACCAAAATACACAAAACTGACTCAGTTTTGTGTGAACACAATCCAGTTTTGCTGAAAGGTTCAGAAAGCTCAGGGAGCTTTTGTGTAAAGGCAGGTCACAGTTTGAGCAAGCTTACAATGATTTTGAGTTTCACATCACAATCATCTCTGAAATGTCATTGTTCATCTGGGATGTCTGTGAGTGGTCACAAAACAGAAATCTATTGCATTTCAAGGAACTGTGAATAGGAGGGAGGATGAGAGACAGGCATGGGTCAAAACCACTTAAACCTGAAGTCAGGACCCTTTACATAAACAAACCCATCAATACAAAAACACTGAATCTGTTAAGCCAGAAAATTATTCCCCCAAGTTGGAGTCATTTCATTACCACTCTGGCACAACTGGAGCGGGATCCAAAGCCCAGTAAAGTCAAGGGTAGAATTTCCATTGATTTCCAAGGAGTCTGGATCGGATCCTAGATCACATTGTCACACTGCAGCAAAACCCAGCCGTGTTGCAGTGTACCCACCTGCTCTCTAAGGTCTCAGCTCTTGCCGTTCAAATCCACTGCAGGTGCAATGTAGGTTATTCCAGCATTTACTTGGTGCATTTGCTAAATAAATACTGTTTTATCAAAATCAGCAATACTGGTTCTTGTTAGTAAATTAGGCCAACTAATGAACACTTTTTCTTAAGAGGATTTGTCTGCTTAAATCAAAACCAAATGTCAAAAATCCTTATTCTAGCAATCAGATCAGTGCCCTCCTGCACTGGCTGTAGACTAGGGCTGGCTAAAGACACACAGAAAAAGCGAATGAAGACCTTACAATATCTTTTAATGAGGTACTTAGGCTTCTTTTACAACAATTCAGCAAAATCTGGCTAGGTAAGGGATCAGCAGCTTTTGTGTACACAAGTAAGAACAGAAGAAAGAAAGCAAAAAGAAAGGCAGGCAAGAAGGGAGCAAAGAAGAAAGCAGGGAGGGAAGACCCCGTGTTTCATTTGCTAATACTTCATGTTGACAAGTCACAAAAACGCAAAAACCTTTTTAACCTCTTGCCTCCTTTTGACAAAATCATCCACCTACAAATTAAAACCACCTCCAGACATTGCTGAAATTATTTTCTTAGGCAGTACTCTAATGTAAAATGCTGTGCACACTAAGGAAATTATTTTAAAAATAAGACGTAGAGATTTATTTTTTTCTTTCTCTGCAAATCAAAACAGAAGTCTATATCTGAGAGGAATTTCTGGGAAGAACAAATAATCCACCGGAGCCTGTACTAGAGTAGGTGCCCTAAACAAACCTACAGAAGGAGCATAATGAGGCAATGATTTATTGCGTGCTATGCAACTCTCACTGCTGTGCAGTGCGTTGTAAGAACCAGCAAAAAGGAGAGGCAATAATCATACAGCCTCCTCCTCCTCCTCCTCCTCACGTGTTTCTGGATATTACCTGCTCTGGATATGAGTGTGACACTGAGACAGGGCTGCAGCCTCCCTGAGCTGCAGGACTGGCAAATGATCTTTGTGCTGCACCACTTTTCGTCTCGTATTTAAAGCACCATCTCCCACTACCTACAAGAAAATTAAAAATCTGTCTTTGGACATTCTGAAATGTTGCACAGTTATAAAATGTCATTTGTGTGGAATGTATTCTTGCTCTGTGTGTATAAAAAAAGGATTTTCAAGAATGTTTCCATCAGCAGGTGGAATCCTGGATCTTCCAGAATCAATGGTGGAACTTGCCTTGGCTGCAAAAGGGGCAGCATTTCATTTATGCACGAGGGACTAAATACAGAGAACAAATTCTGCCCTAAGAAGTATTTGTAAGAAAATCTTGGTCCTAAAGAATTGCAGTCAATCAAAGGAGGAGCAGAAACATGCAAAGTAACCAGCATTGCACCAATCAATACAAATCAACATGAGCCTGACCCTATCTGGGTGGTATTTGCAACTAGCTGAGCTTTTTTTTTTCCATTTAAAATTCATTTGGGTTCTTGTAATGACTGGTGGGTTTCTTGCACTGCTGCCCATATTCCTCCCAATTTCTCCCATTTAAGAATACAAAAAATTCTCCCCAACTAAGAATTAGTCTTCAAACGTGTTTGGTGAGATATTTGTAATAAATAAATATGGAAAAAATTACCTGCAGACTACTTGTGCTCAACTTCCCCCCTCCCCACCCCCGCCCCAAAAGGCTAAATCAGTGAAATAAATTAATTGCTATGAATTATTCAGCTCTACCTGTGGCAATGAAAAATAGCAAGAGCATTAGGATTCTTCTTTGTGTACTAAGCCTCTAATTTATAGAGAATGCATATTAATAAAACACAGGATATTCATCAATATTCAAGTCACTGGCTGCCTCACTATTTAATCTAAAATTACCAGCCAGCTCAAAACTCTTACTAGTTAATCATGCAATCTAAGCCATTCTGATATTGATGGTTAACA